TATAGTATGTAACTTCTAAAGGATCGCATGTCTCATGTTCAGCCCGAATAATAGGTTTTTTGTTGTTTTTTAAGGTTTGATAGACAAATATTTTCAAGGCAAGCGTCTCCGGTCATTCATGCGTCGCAATCTGATCAATGGGCGGCTTACCACGGCTGGCAAATCACGAGGTTAGTCATAGCAACGTCGCAGATGATCGGTTCTGTCGGAACGTTAGGAGAAATTTCTAGATCGCAACGTTCATGGAGGAGAGCTCAGGGAACCAAAACCCGTTGACATATCGGTAAAAGAGAAAGAAAGCCCGATCGCCGAACACCCAACATGTGAGACAAACTGGGGACCGTCTTTTATAGAGTTACATAATTTTATATCATAATTTCCACAGGTACATTCCAATAAATTAATAATAAAAGCTTCAAAGCGTTGGGAGTCCCATACTGCATTAAAATCCAGAGCAAAGCAGCCGGCGAGCGTTTTATTTCGTGAGGGTTAATTATGTACGCATTTAAAATAATACAATCAGCGCGATGTAAAAGAGCGTAAAGCGTTTGAAAATTATATAAGCTAGACTTAGGGGCTCAGAACGGATGAGCTGAGGGCTGAAGTGATGTAATTAAAAACGTTCGTGCAGTATAGAGGATAGGTAGAAATGTTAATTTTTTGTAAAGTTTATATGTCGCATTCTTTTTGTTTGCCTGTTCGGTATAAGCTTAGTTAATGGATTTCAACCATTGATACCTAACTATATATTGATTTGCGGAATCATAGGCCACCTATGAAACAGCAGCCGAACACAAAAATTTAGAAATCTGATCTGCAAAGGGTTTCCGTATTCCGTTTGGCTACCGTCTGGTAGGTGGCGCTAGGATCTTCTTTCCATTTTGGCTTCTCTAATACCTATTTTCATCGGGTCCCTTCAGGCATTGGTTAAGGTATACCTCCTGCCATAACGGAATTGCAACAGATAGTAGCAAAACAAAACACTACCTTCTTTGAAAGTAGATTTCTTAATTCATTTTTGTGTTCTGGTATCTTATGGATCCCTTTTTGGATGTAGTACACGATTCAGTTAGAATACGTTGCGTCAATGATTTCATTGTGGTGAGTATGTAAGGGATTTTCGATTTCTTGAAACTTGTACTTTGTATTAATCGAGAATGAAGCTCCAGGGTAGCGTTGCCAGATTCGCCGCGATAAATAATCGTACAAGCACGTCGAAACTATCGTACATTATTGTGTACTCCCCTCCACTCTCTGAATGTCCGGGTGGAGCGTAGACTCGAGGGAACAACATCGATGACAAAATTTGTTTCACGGACATCTGCCGGATTAACAGCAACATTAATGCTGTGCATCACTACCTACCACTCGTCCCGCCATGCTTTTCTTGGCGGAGACAAAAATATCAGAATCTGCACCGGCTAATCATCTTAGTTTCCCAAATTAGGAGGTTAACTCCAATCTGAGAAAGAACGGGGGAATTGTGGCATATGTTTGCAGCAGTCTTTCCTGCTCCAGAGGCGTTTGGAATCAGACCGGAAGGACATTATGTGGCTTCGTCTCAACTCCATAATATCCCCCAAATTTATTTGCTGCCTTTATCGCTCTGCGTGGGACCGTAACTGGAATGATCTTGAATACCTCGCTGTGAAGATCGACTTCCTGAACATCAATCACCCCGCTTCACAGGTTCTCCTTAGTGATTTCAAATGCCCATAATGAGCTTTGGTTGGACTCAAACAAATACCGCAGCAGGTCGTGCAGCTGAAGCATTCGTTATTACCTATTACCTATGTCCTGTCTCTCCTGGGTAACTGAGACCACGGTGGAGGTTAGGTTTCGGCAGAAGCCGCTGTGGCAGCAGAGACCCTCCGAGGCCGCAAAATTTGGCATTAGGGGCATGCCGACTAGGAGGGGCTCAGAGACTTCACTTTTCTTCAGAGAGATGTTTGTTTCACGTCGGCTCTCTGTTCATCGATCACCGAAACTGTCCACGTTGGGATGGAAGAATACATCCATCATACAGTGAAGGCGCCTAAGCCAGGGTCCAACGACTGGTTCAACAAATCGTGCGACACTGCTCGCCAGCGGAACATCAAGGCACACAGAATCTTCTTATAAAACCCCACTGTAGAGAACAGACAAGCCCTCGTCGAGTCCAGAAGCTGATGACAACCCTCTACATGCAGTAATTCAGAGCGACAAGCCGAACTCTGCCGGTGAGCTGGAAAAGAGAAGACTAGCGGCGACTTCCTCTCTGACAAGAGACCTGGAGTTTACTAAAGCTTTTTCACGCAACAATCTTGTACAGTTTAAAGCTTCTTAAACGCAGTACTGTAGCTTGCCAACAAAAGCATCCTGGCGCTCTTCCGGTTTCGATGGATGGCCGAGTTCTGCCAAAGAGCCGTTCATTTCGGCTGGTTGGTGCACGAACACATTTCGTCAATACCGGCAGCTGCTGGGAAAAAGCTAGGCTATTTGTTTAGGACTAAGAAATACTTTTCTCCCCATGACTCTATACATACCCAGATTAATATTGCCCACAAGTTTGGAGTGCTGCCGTTCCGACTACATTATTTATGCTTGATGCTGCCCAGAAGAGAGCTGCCCGACTGATCGATAACTTTTCTCTGACAGACAGTCTCGGGACCCTTTCGCAAAGGCTGGCCGCTATACCAGCGAGCTCTCCTCCATGATGCCGCAGCGCAATGTGCTTGCCAGTCAGACCCGCCTAACTTCGGCCTCCCATCCTAATCGTGTCGAACTTCGTACATCCAGAACTGGCCGATACGACCGTTCCCGATAATGTCGAGATTGTGGAACAATCTGTAAGAGGAAGTTTTTCCCAGTTTCACTAACCTTAGGCAGTTCAAAAATCGGAAAAAATTTCTTTGTGGTCCTCATAGCAGCCGCGGTGCAGTCTATAGGTGTCAACTTAAGACGGGGGAGGGGCGGTGCACGCTCATCAAGCCTGTTAGTAACAATTGAAGAGCGGGGGATGTAGAGATGTATAAAAGTAATTATTGGACTCATTTCACACACATTTCAACATCTGAGACAAAAAAGCTTCTTCGCTAAACTATTGTACATTTAGCTGTTATCGTACAACTAGTATCGTACATCGTACAGGACTTGAGATTATGGTATACAAACACCCTTCAAGGGCCCCAAAACAGACAGAATTTGTGTTGTCAAATTGTGACGTGAAAACTAGTTTACTTTTCGTTACCCTGATGAAAAAAAGTGAGTTGACTCTGCACTTCCTACGCATCAACGCCATAATCACTTCATAACGGATTAAGTTCAGAGCAACATATATCCTCTGAGAAAATGTCTATCAGAGAAATTAAACGTATTAAGCAATTCAACCAGGACCATACAATTAGTCCATAGACTTCTGGTAGTTATCGACCAAGTGGCGACGTTGTCCCTTTAAGCATCTGCGCGGAACCTCTGCAGCAATTTATCTTTCGGTTCGTGCAAGCTCCATATGCTTTTTGGGCTGTTTTTACGTCAAATCTGTAGTCTCAGTGGCAATATGGAACTACCCCACTGTTTGTCTTTTGTTTCCAAGGATGATGTGATTGTTTTCCTTAATTTTGTAGTAAAGTACAATTCGCGTTTTTGACCACCCTGTATGAGCAGAAATGGAAATTCGAAAAAGTAACAAATAAGATAAAAGCTTAGGTGTGTAAGTTTTATTTGATATAAAATCCAGCACTTAAAATGTCTAAATGTTGAATTGAGGGCTTGCCGAAGTGGACGGTTTTTCTGGACAAAACACCTTACATCTCAGTAGCTAATTACCGAAACCCCATAGTATGTCATATCAATTCTCTTCTTTTGAATTGGTTTATCTAAATATGCAATAAAATTTGAGGCATTACATTTAAAAAATCACAACTTTGATATGTAGATCAAAATTGGGACACCATATATAGATTTTCCCAAAATGTATTTGTTTATGAGTAATATTCCGTCCACACATGGATGAGCCACCCTGTATATAAGCCGGACTAGTTTCTCTTCTTTCTCTTTCATTCTAAGTCCTAAACGCAAATGTATTGGTAAATCAATGATGTGTGAAATATGCCTAATAGATACATAGAATTACCGGGGTTGGGAGCTTGTAAATGTACTAAGATCAATCAAATTCATATTCCGTCCCCCACCCCCTACAACCCCCAAATTTCAACCACTACAAATGTTTTTTTTTTCTGAAAATGATCAGGACTCTCTCAAGCGTCGAAAAAAAGCTTGGACAATTTTTAGTTTTTTTTTTCGTTTTTGGTCTTTTTCTCCGCCGCCACTAGATCGATTTTCAAAAACTACGAAGGTTTTTCATCTTTGACATAGCCTTGTGTCAAAAATCCATCAAAATCCGAGTAGTACTTCTCAAGTTATAGGCGGTTGTAAAATCAGCGGACAGACCTACAGACAGACTGACGGATTTGGATGAAATCTTTACACAATGTTACTACTAGGCCAGGGGCGCAAAGGTTTGTAGTTTTTGAAAATTGGTCCAGTGGCCGCACAGAAATAGGCCTAGAATGGAAAAATTAAGTCGCCTTCGTTTTTTGATCTTGCAGAGGATCCTGATCATTTTTCAGACAAATTTTAGTGGTAAAATACTTGGGGGTGGGAGTTGTAGAGGGGGAGTTTATATCAATTTTTTGATGTAAGTACATTCATACGCTCCCAATCTTGGTAATTCAAATGTCACACATATAAATACTGTAACCCTCAGCAGACGAATCGCGTACATACTGGCCGCAGCTGCGAAGTGATCTGTTGTTTTGATATGGTGTCATACGTGTTTCTGCCGCGTCCAATTATAGTGCTTCCTAGACAGACTTAGTACGAGTATAAGTATTGGGAAGAGGAGACGCTTTCAGATTATGCAGTACCGGCAAACCTAGATGACGCCATTTTTCAGTTCAGTTTTGTTTTGAGAAATTATGATTTAAGTTTTTGGCAAGAAAGCCTTGAATGTCTTGATGATTTATTATTTCTGTTACTACAAAATATAAAAATGAATTAATGTCATTTTTATCATATCTCTCGAATCACCGATTCAGATTTCCTAATATTATATTTGACATTGCAATTTTCATTATGAAGCCTCACATCTTTTTGGCACAAAGTTTCATCATCGCACTCATAGATTCTATCTTCTTCGGCCACATTCTGTAGAATATAAAGAGTTTCTGTATTCATTATATTTGTACCTGCAATGTCGCCTGATATACCTCTCTGTACCTACAAAATTTTTTGAGTTAGGATTTATAAATGAAATAATGAAATATAATCTTTGAAGATAAAGCAAATTCTAAGGCAACTTGGACTAATCACAGAACAGATATATGCCAGAAGCACGTCAATTTTGAGGCGTATTAACATTAAATAATATTTAAAATAGAAATCAATATTAAAAATCTGGAAATATTTTTTGAAGGATCCATAGACTGCAATCATGATTTTTATTTGTAACCTGGTCATTATCGCTGCTTCTCGTCGACACCAACTCAAATTCGTCTGCTAAGCAATCAGTACAACCTTCACCTTCTTTAATTATTTTTCTATCACTTTCACTCCTCAAATAGTTAATGTTTACATCGATCCCTTTTTCTAGCCCATTTTCACACTGATGCTCCAATCCAGTTCTTATTCCATCATTTTCAGTTCTTAGATAGTTAATTTTAGCTTCAACCGCTTTTTTTAACCCATCCGTCACTTTGAAAGAGTCCTTCGCGGCCTTTCTTGCTCCATCATTCTCATTTGCCGAACTGGTAAGATTGACATCAGCCCTTTTTTCAAATCCTATATTATCAAAGTCCTTTACATCAACACCAGAACTACCAGATTCGGATCTAGAGTGTTTGCAACAATTCTGTGACTGGCAATATTCAATGGTGTTATTAAGCCCCGTATCGTCAGTCGTCCCTACAATTGTAGGGCGCGTTTATGGCCTCCTTGAATGCCATACTCTTTTCTCTCCTTCAAAAATTTCTAGATTACACTCGTCCCGTGTCAGCGTCAGCGCTCTCCTATTGTTAAGATATGTTTTCCTTTTAAATTGTAGGAAATTTCAGGCTGAAAAAGCATGATAAAACTCAAAAGCAAGCACAATTTGATGCAAATAGATGTTTGTGACATAACCTCAAAATAGAGCGCTGACACGGAGAAATAGAAAACTATGACAATCAAGGAGGCCATAAACGCGCTCTATAATTGTAGGGACGACTGACGATACGGACCTTAGACATGAAACTTTGTTGTAGTTGCAACAATATTGGTTGGTAGGGCTGGACTGCTTGCAAGGATTGTATGGACAACAAAAATGATTACTACACACATCATCAAAAGTGTTGGACCCCCTGGCGTACTGGGAAACTATAGCCTTCTAATTTCAATCTTTGATATATGTATTTTAAATTGGGGATATTTTTACTATATTTTTTTAACAAAACGTTAAATTAGTTTCATTAATATGAAAAGTAAAGTTGAACAAGTAAGGTACCAAAAATTTTATTTTTAAAAATAAAAATTAAAGAAAAATAGTTATTCTAAAGAAAAATAAAACATAATTAATAACCAGTTCGGTGTCCTCTAGATCTTAGCAGTGCGTTAACACGCCTTGGCATTCCTATTATTCGGTGGTTAATGTTTTCTTGGGGTAAATTATTCCTCTCTTCATTTACTGCTGCAGCCAGCTCATTTAGGGTTGTAAGTGGATCTATTCTGTTCCGTACGGCTCGAGCTATAGTGTCCCAAATGTTTTCAACGGGGTTCATGTCTGGGCTGTTCGCAGGCCACGGCAATCTGACTATTTGGCCCCTTTCTAGAACCCGCTGGTTCCTTCTCGATATATGTGGCCATGCATTATCAGCCATAAAAATTAAGTTGTTACCGAATTCATTTCGCAAAGGTTTAATAATGGGTTGTATGACATTTTCTTCATAAATTTCTGCAGTCATTGTCCCCTGGATCTGAAGTAAAGGACTCCGGTGGTTAAACATTATGCCTCCCCCAAAACATTATTGATCCGCCCTGATTTGGGACAACTTCTCGGGCCAAATTTAGTCGCTGTTGATGTCCTGGTTCTCTCCAAACCCTTATTCTACGGTCATCACTCACCAGTCCAAACCTAACCTCATCTGTAAATACCACATTTCGCCACTGTGGCAAAAGCGACTCCAGATGTTCTCTAGACCACTGGAGACGAGCAGCAATTTGTCTACGAGTAAGACGTGGAACCCTTAAAGGTCTTCTAGGGCGAAAATTTGCCATTCGCAATCTTCTTCTGATGGTAGAAGTGGAAATAACTCTTCGAAAGGTAGTTGAATATGCGATCTGATAGCTGTACTTGTTGAAAATCTATTCCTTCGGGAAAATAGAGCAATGTAACGATTCTCCCTATCATCTGTTACTCGAGGACGCCCACTGCGTGGCCGATTTTCAACTGAGCCAGTTTCTTGGAATCTATGAATTGTTCGAATAACCGAACTTCTTGGGATACCCAAATCCAGTGCTATTCGGTGATTTGAAAATCCAGCTTGGAAGATGGCTACTATTCGTGTTCTATCAAAACCAGAAATTTCAGCTGGCGGCATTTAAAAAGTTACAGTATAAAATTTTATTTTAATACTTTTTGCTCAAACACTACCGTTAAACTGACTTTATTTCTATAAAAATCCAAACACATTTTTATCTCAAAGATTTTTTGCGATTTTTGCTTGCCAAATAATGGGTGATTTTTTTGCTAGTATCTTTTCGGCAACACTGTTTTTGACAGATGACGCGTGAATCGTGTCTTGTGTCATTGTCAAACTTGTTCAGTTTGGCCTATAATTTAACCATGAAACGAACAACGCTTGCAAATTATTGAATTTTACTATCAAAATTCATGCTCGGTTAAGAGAGTGCATCGAGCACTGCTTCCAATTTATGGGCAATTTGGTCGGCCTACTGAGGGAGCTATTCGGAAGCTTGTGACTAAATTTCGAACCCAGTTTACATTATTGGACATTAAACCACCAACACGCCGACGTAGAGTGAGGACTGAAGAAAATATTGCGGCTGCATCCGCCAGTGTTAGTGATGACCGTGAAATGTCCACTACGTGGTAAAATTTTGCGACAGGATTTGGGTGTAAAACCTTATAAGATACAGCTGGTGCAAGAATTGAAGCCACACGACCTCCCACAACGTTTCCCATTTGGTGAATGGGCGCTGGCAAAGTTGGAGGAAGATCCACATTTTTATCGAAAAATTGTGTTCAGCGACGAAGCTCATTTCTGGTTGAATGGGTACGTTAACAAGCAAAATTGCCGCATCTGGAGTGAAGACCAGCCAGAAGCATTGCAAGAGCTACCAATGCATCCCAAAAAAATCACTGTTTGGTGTGGATTATCGGCCGGTGGCATCATCGGGCCGTACTTCTTCAAAGACGACAATGGCCGGAAAGTAACTGTGAATGGCGAGCGCTACCGTGCGATGATAAACTTTTTTTTGTCCAAAATGGAAGAGCTGGACTTGGCTGACATGTGGTTTCAACAAGACGGTGCCACATGCCACATCGCACACGAAACAATGGCCCTATTGAGAGGCGAGTTCGGTGAACAGTTTATCTCACGTTTGGGGCCCGTCAATTGGCCGCCTAGATCGTGTGATTTAAAGCCGTTGGACTATTTCTTGTGGGGCCATGTTAAGGCTTATGTCTACAGGGATAAACCAGCAACGATTGACGCACTGGAAGCGAATATTGAAGCATTTATTCGTGAGATACCGGCCGATATGTTGGACAGAGTGTGCCAAAATTGGACCTTGCGCATGGGCCATCTAAAGCGGAGCCGCGGCCAACATTTACATGAAATAATCTTTAAACATTAAATTTTATCGACCGTTCTATCGACTCAAAAAAGGATTTAATCGTTTTTTCAAATTTTTGTGTTTTTTTTTAAATCAAATCCTATATCTCTTAAAAAATCACCCGTTATAAAAAGATTTTTTGTTCACAAACAGCATGTAGATAACGTACCTCTAGACGGATTTATACAGGGGCTCCAACATTTTTGATGATGTGTGTAGTATACCTACAACATGAACCTCGAAATTTGCAAGAAAATAGATTCATGTGTAGATATCTAGGAAATTTTTTGCAATAACTACAATGATTTCTACAACGACATAATTTTTCGAGCTCATGTATTGAAACTTTGCAGTGGTTATAACAGTAGTTATTGCCATGATTTACACTGTTCGAATTATGGTCACAGTTAGTCCAATTTTGGGTAGTCTTAACGGATGTTGGGACTTTTGTGCTATTATTTTTTGAAGAAGGTTTTTTGGGATTTGTTTTGGGGTGCTTAGAGTGATAATGGCAGCTATGAGGATGCTGCCATTCACAGCCTGAAATAAAAAACCGAATTTTAAAATATGAGCTACAAAGTGTTCCAAAAAAACGAGAGGTGTTCCAAAATACTGGAAAACGAGGGTTTGAAACAGCATGCTGACTATAAATACTTTTTTATTAGAGTTATCGTTAAGTACTTGAGAAGTGCGCTGAAAAAGCGAGATCGTACTTACCCTCAACACACATTGTCGCTGTATTTCACCGTATCACCTAACTTGAACTGAATAACTGAATAATAAAAAAAACAATTCATGCGAAATCCTGATCTACCGCAAACGTTTATCTGGCGACTATAATAGTGTCGTGTGCAAGGTCGTGTGGAAAGATACTGAGCGCAAAATGGAAAGTGTAAGCCTACTACAAAACTCTGAAATTTCCTGTTTGAAGTCACGTATACAAAACAGATAATCTCTGTACTACCTACGCCTTCGTTTTAGGTTTAGGCCAAATCTAATCGTGATTAGGTAGGTTCACTAGTACCGTGAATACACTGGTACCTCTGCATATCAAACTATACGTATATCCAATAAGTACTACGATAAACTTAGGGAGAAGGTAGGCTTTGGACTCACCTCGCAAATAACAAAAACTTACGTATATAAAAGTGTCACCGTTTTTGAGATATTGATTTTTTTCTTAAATTTTAAAGAAACTAACCTTTTCATCTGTGGTCTTTAGCTGCATTTACAAATAAGGTTATACTTTGTTCATTTTTTCTATAAAATACTTCTATCATATACAAATGATAGAAGTATATCATATACAAATGCAATGTAGTTGAAAGATATTAAGGAACCATGATCAAATAATTATACTAAGTGACATATAAATCCGAACACCCAGTTTAAATGGTTATATTTTAATAAAAGTTGGTGAATGTATTTATCTTACTGTAAATAACAAGTGAAAAAATTTTCAGCCTTATCATTTGGACATTCCGGTTTTTATACTGCTTTTTTTTAATTCACTAACGCTCTAAAAATGAATATTTCAGCCGCAGTAAAGAATCAACGTTGGCGGATTTTGGTTCTTCACATCCTTTACGACCGGTTACGATGCCTAGAGTACGGAGACCTGTACGATTTCGTCAACTTAGTAAGTTTGATAGGGGCCGTATAGTGGGACTTCGGGAAACTGGACTTTCTTTTCGGGCAATTGCAGTTAGAGTGCAAAGAAGTGTAGACACTGTGGTTAGGTGTTGTCAGGCATGGCTTCGAGAAGGCCGTACGCAAAGAGCAAGGGGCACTGGACGCCGCCGTAGAACAACAGACCGTGAAGATCGCCGCCTAAGGTTATTGGCCTTAAGGGACCGTTTCTCCACTACCAGGTTCATTGCAAATGAATGGTTTGCAGAACACGGAAGACCTATTGGCATGCGAAGTGTTTACCAATGAATGAGAAGTTTTGGCTTGTTTTCATACCGGCCACACTGGGTCCTCCCTTTAACTCGAGAACACCGACGTAATCGCCTTGAGTGGTGCAGACAGCGGTCACTCTGGGATCTGGAATGGAACAGTATTGTCTTTAGTGACGAGTCTCGATTTTGTTTAGGCATGCACGATGGTTGTGCCAGGGTTAGAAGGCGACGTCGTGAAAGGAGGAATCCACAGTGTTTTGTTGAAAGACATGTTCATCACACTGTTGGAGTTATGGTTTGGGGTGCTATAGCTTATGGTTCCAGGTCACCTTTTTCATCAGAGGTAACATGAACGCGCAGCGTTATATCCACGAAGTTCTAGAACCCCATCTTTTACCCTATCTTGACACGCTGGCAGATCCAACTTTCCAACAAGATAATGCCCGACCACATATTGCAAGAGTCACAATAGACTTCTTTCAACATAATGATGTCACATTGTTACCATGGTCACCAAGATCTTCCGACTTATCCCCAATTGAGCACGTGTGGGATATGATGGGTAGGAGATTGCTCAATTTGCAACGTCCTCCTCAGACTCTAGAAGCACTTCGAGAGGAGTTGGTGGTTGCCTGGAATGAGATACCACAGGAGGACATTGACCACCTGATCAGAAGCATGCCTAGGCGCGTTGGAGAATGCGTAGCACATCAGGGTGCATCCACACAATATTAAAGGTCAAAGGGCTTTAAAGCAGTGCAATCGTTTTGAAATTTTTATCATTTACTTATTATGCTTCATTAAGTACTTATACAAAATTTTATTAAAATAGACCATTTAAACTGGGTGTTCGGATTTATATGTCACTTAGTATATTTTTGCTAATATGTAATGGATTTCAAACTGGTAAAAAATCACCAGACTTGGTGAAAAAACACCATACCAGGCAACCCTGATCAATTTGTAAACGCTTCGATGATCACGTGAAAATAAGAGGTTTGCGTGAGTCTGGTTGCCTATAAGTTCAGCTTGATGCAAATATAAATACAATGGTGATTCTGCGTTTTTAGGCTTAGTATTACTGCATGTCCGTTAGTACATTAGTAGAAATTGAGCTTCATGATTAAGGTTGTTAATTGAAAATTCAAACATTCGGACAGGAGTATAAGAAAAGCGGTTTTAATAGATTGAAAGAAGATGGTACCTGCGTAGTAGGAAGTGTATTTTCAGAGGGCTGTGCACATCCGCTTTCTAGACAATGTAGTCACTGATCTTCCGGAGCCACTACCGCAGAGACACTTTATTCATTTAAGTTAGGTGTTCTTAGTCCGAGAGTCACTTATACTAGTGAATATCTAGAAACCGTTAAGCCACTCACAGTCGACTACCTTCCGCTCTTGGACAATAATATGCCAACTTCAATAAATGTGAATGAATATCGGCTGTGGATGGCAAAATGACAGCGAGTGCAGAATATTCCGCAGCCGATTCCCACTTTTATTGAAAATTACGATGCCAAAGTGAATCCTGGCATCAAAAGTTCTTATGTATCCTTGCTACATTACCAGTTAATGTACCGACAGTAGACGCTCAGGAGGCTCAAAACGTGGTTGCGAGCGTCTATGGCAGAAAATCGTCTAACTGTTACTTTTATATGTCTGTAAAGATGTACATGTCGATACGAAAGAAATCATTAATCGATTTGCAAGAAGACGAAAAAGCAGAATTCAATTTTGTTATTTAACAATAAAACTTGCCTTTTAAATTAAACTTATTGTTTAAATCACATTTAGGAAGCCCCACTCTTCAATTCTTAATCGCCCCCCTCTCATAAAAAAATACAAAGCATACTTGGCATAGTATTAATCTTGTGTGAAAATTTCATCAAAATCCGAGCGGTATGCCTCTTTATACAAGGTGTTACATTTTTTCAATAAATCGGTAATTCTATAGTGCAGAAAAATCCACGGAAAAAGAAATTTTGAATTTGCAGAATCCTGAGGCATCATTTCTTAAGAAGGTCCCATTGATACACATTGAAGAAGGCTCGCTGGTATGGTTTTTGCATACAGCGCCTTAAAAAATGTTCGCCTCTATGGCAACCTCGAGTCCTATAGTTACTTTCACCATTTTCGCCAAGCGGTAAAATAGTTGACTGTACTTAGGGTGAAATTTCGATGACATTTGATAATTATACACCGAATCAACCAAATTTTGCAATTAAGTTGGTTGGTCACTTGAACATACTACGAGCCTCGATTAATGACTTGCCCCCCTTTTCCCCTCGAGCAGCACCGTACCAGTGTTGCCATCTACACCTCCGGTAATCCAATAAACACTATGCAGGGCAGTATCGGACTATCGAATTTGTCGGATTATAGAGCACTGCCTAAGACCCCCTATAGTCCGGAATTTTTTACAAAAGAGTACCTTGTAATTCGACAAATTACATATCCAATGGTCAGATTATATATGTTATGTATATGTATGTACTTTGAAGTACAAATCATACATAGTTTATGTATGTCGAATTTAGTAAATTAAATAACAATAGAGAGCTTACGTTTTATTATAAAATTAAGCATAAATGCACATACATACGTACCAAAATAATCAAGAATTATTAATCAAAATCATTAACGAATTTATCAAATTATGAAGCTTGGAAATATTCATCAATTTTTTTTGTTTGGTTGTTATAACGTGATATCAGATCTTTGTCCCTCAGTCTTCTCAAAAGTAAAAGTTCGTTGTAGGATGTACTCTTTGGCCCATTATAAACCTAGCTCAAAGGCGTTAATTGCGTCTTGTGCTGTGACGTCGTCGTTATTTTCCTGATTGTTTGTTGTATAATTAGAAACCTCTTTTATAATCTCTTCGTCAGACATTACATGAAAAACATTTTCCTCTTTATCCATTCCACGGCACCAGATTTCCAAATCTTCCGGAGTTATCTGTGTTTCTGTAGCGACTTGTTCTATAACGAAGTTACACTGATTTGTGGAACGTTGCTAGGAGTGGTGACTATATCTGGCCATAACTTTTTCCAAGACGATTTAATAGTTGATGACGGTAACGCATTCCACGACTGACAAAGAGCAAAAACCAAGTCTTTCATATTAAATTCTTTTAAAGTTTTTTCTATTGGTTGGTCTTTTGATACGGCTCTCAGAAGTAGGTTTTTCTTATAGTCTTGCTTGACAAACTGAATGATATTCTGGTCCATTGGTTGAATCAGTGCAGTGCAATTTGGCGGAAGAAACATCGCAGTGATGCATTTATCCTTAGTTGTTAGTTCTTCTTCAGACGGATGACCGGGAGCGTTATCAAGAAGCAACAACGCTTTTTGAGGAAAATTACGATCTTTTAACCATTTTCTAACTTCAGGTACGAAGCATTCATCAAACAACTTTTTGCAAAGGTCTTTTGTCATCCATGCACTTTTTGTCCGTAATAGTGTACAGGTAAGGTAAATCAGTGTTTTTGAATGCCCGTGGTATATTAGATTTCCCAATGACTTTCATCTTAAGCGCGTGTGCGCCCGCAGCGTTAGCATAGTATGGTTACACGCTCCTTACTTACTTTTCGTCCAGGTACGGATTTTTCGTTACAAGAAACGAAAGTTTTGTTAGGCATCACACACCAAAGAAGCCCTGATTCGTGTGCATTGTACAGCTGTGACGGGTCAAGATTTAAATCGTTCACCTTTTGCAAAAATCTTAATTTAAAGTGCTCTATACAGGTGGCATCGTTAGAAAGTTTCTCTCCTGTAATAGTCATTAACCGTATGCCATGACGACTTTTAAAACGTTCTAGCCATCCTTTGCTGGCCACAAAATCATCTTTTTTTATTTCCTTATAAAAAAACTTAGCTTTCATGGCCAACGTGGGTCCTGAAATTGGTGCATGCCTAT